TATATATATATATATATATATATATATATATATATATATATATTTCCCCTTAAAAAACATTTTATTGTATTAAATTCAGCAAATAAACAGAAACTGTATATTTACATGTGCAGAAATGTGTTCTCTGTGGAGAATGTGTACCTATTTTCACTTAGAAAATAAACAAAAGATACAATTTGATGAGGGGCACCCAAACTTTTGCATTATAGTATGAATTTTTCAGTAGCTACTTTGAATTCAGAACCTACTATGATCACTCAGCAATATTAAGCTCAAAATATGACAATAAAGACCCTGTACAGTTGTACAGCTGAAGACTAAAAAATTACGCTTTCAAAATCCCAAATGATTTATAAGTGTTGTTAAAAAGAAAGGTGATGTAATGCTCATCAGGTAAAACATAAAACACAGTGTTTTTGTACCATTCTTGTGCAGCCTGTGGGACACTAGGTCCCAGCTGGGAAGGGAGTAGGAGGGGCTCTAGGACCCCAGGAAGGCTAGTTTTCAGAGTCAGGAGCAAACGCGAATATCTTGAGCTCTTTTGAGACCCATAGTATGCCGCCATTATTCAAGCAACGTGCTCAGAATGCCACCGTAGTCTGAAGTTTTCAGACTTTTATCCATTTGTACGCACTGGAAACGCTGAATGCAGTCTTGGTGCTTTGCCCTGCTTAAACTGTCAGTAAGATTGTGGAGAAAATTAACTGTGTAGGCTGGTGACTGAAGGAGAGCTTTCAGAGGGTGTCAGTAGACACAATTACTGAAATAACCTACAAAGAGAGAGTGGCTGAAGACGAGTGCAGACATTGGTGTAGCCACTGTTTTTCCCACCTTTTATTTCTTTTGTTTTCTTTCCTCTGGCTTTTGGTGTTTTCATAATACAATAATGACCTAAGGTTTTACTTATTTAAATTGGTACCAGTTTTGAGACAAATCTATTTTATGAGTTTTATTTTCTCTTCTGAATTTCCTTTTTATTTCAAGTTGAGGGTTGGTATCCAATATTTCTTATTTTAAAATATTGTTATTAGTTTTTTGTATTGTTAATGGAGGAAGGTTTTTTTCTTTGATTCTTCTTGTCTGAACTGTAGTGACTGCAGATAGGCAGCTCAGCTAACTTTTTTTGTTAACTTTTAGCTAAGATTTTGTGTGATTTGGGTGTGGACCTCAACTTATTCTGAAGCTTGGAGTGGAGATATATTCGTTTGGGGTGTGTAGATTCAAATTAGGGGTGTATTGAGTGGTGTGATTTTCTTTATACTGGGCAGTGTGCTGTTGCACCTATCCATAGAACACCACAGGTATTTTTAGCCCTTACTATATTTTAATAGCCATAGTAGGAGGCAGAAATCTTAAAGTATAATTTTTTATTTAAAAAAAGGGTGCAAGAGATTTCTTTTATGTGACGTTTCTTTAATAAACTTATGGTATTAAGCCATCAGTTGTGTGATCCATGTATGTTTAGGTGAACCTGTTCTGGGGAAAAGTGCTGCTAAACAGGGTTCTCCCACCCTTCATAATTAGGGAATGGCGTAGTCTGTATTTTACTTGGTAGTAGAGGCCACACTTATTTAATCAGGTCAAACATAATTTACAAATCACTGCTTTCTGTTTTTTTAGCATTTCCTATACTGGAATTGGGTTTGTGATATCATGAGCCATAATCTCAAAGTCAGATCCTGGAGGGCCAGAGCTCTGTATAGTTATGATACTGAATCAGTGTCATTCAACTGAATCAATAAGACACCATTCATGCCACTCAGTAATCAATTGATCAACTGAAAAAATACTTTTAAAATCAAAAATCGATTAATAATTCAATATAAGAAACAATCACATGGAATTACAATGTGATAATTTATTAAAAAGTTTAAGAATTAAACACAAATAAAAAAAATCTGACATATTTAAAATGCTCATATTTAAACAAAGTCATTCAGAGTAGTTTGATGTTATATGGTTCATTGTAGAGAAACTTACAGACCCAGATTTCTTTACAGCCGTGGTGACAGGAACCAGGGGTCACAATGTCTACAACGTAGATATAGTCATATTATTTACTATTCAATACCAGTGAACTGAGAGGATCTTTATCAATTCAGTGAAATCCAGGAGTGCATATTGACATTTTAATACAGCTCTTTTGAATGATGTTAACTTTAAAGTTTGTTTTAGTTACTTTTGGGACACATGGAGGCTGAGAAAGGATAAATATGTGTCACTGCAGCAGTGGTGGGATGTTTTTTTAACAGTACACTCTCTGTGTCACTACCAGCATCATCGAGGCAGCTAAAGAGCTTGAAAATGACATTATGTTTCATCAAAATCTAGTAGATTCTGGGGGGAACCGTTGCCATATCCAGACACTCCGGAACAGAAAAACTGTTTTAGCAGACCTGCTAGGGGTGAGAGTACAGGGGGCATTGATCAGATCTCGTTTTCAAAACATTTCTGAGATGGATGCCCCATCAAAGTTTGTCTTCAGGTTGGAGAAGAAAAATGGACAGAGCAGGTTCATTCATAGCCTTTGCTTAGCTGATGGCCAAGAACTCAAAGACCCGGTGGAAGTCAGGAGGAGGGCAGTGGAGTTTTTTTCAAAGCTTTGCTCCAGTGAGTATAGGGAGGACAATTCAGTATCACAGGTTTATGAGGGGTTGCCACAGGTGTCGCCTGAGCAGAATGAAGAGTTGGAGCGAGTGATTACCATGCAGGAGCTGCACGTTGCTTTGCAAGGCATGGCTACTGGGAAGGCCCCAGGTATTGACGGCCTGTCCGTTGAGTTTTATAAGTCACTTTGGGACGTGGTTGGGGAGGACCTGCTGGCCGTGCTTCATGAAAGCCTTGTTGGAGAACAACTGCTGTTAAGCTGTAGGAAAGCAGTCCTCACTCTATTGCCCAAGAAAGGTGACCTCAGTGAGGTCAAAAACTGGAGGCCTGTGAGCTTGCTGTGTGCTGACTACAAGGTCCTCTCTAAAGTTTTGGCTAATCACTTAAAGAAGGTGATGGGGCAGGTCACACACATGGATCAGGCCTACTGTGTTCCTGGTAGGTCAATTTTTGATGATATATCTCTTATTAGTGATATCTTAGAAGTGTCTGGGTTAGGACACCGGTTTGGGCTCATTTCTTTGGACCAAGAAAAGGCCTTTGATAGGATCGAGCATCAATACTTGTGGGATACCTTTAGGGCATTTGGGTTTTCCCCCAGCTTTGTTTCAATGGTGAGGGTGCTCTATAGTGACATTGAGAGTGTGCTGAAGGTCAACGGTAGTTTGTGCGCTCCTTTTAAAGTTGGGAGGGAAATCAGACAGGGTTGCTCATTGTCAGAAATGCTATATGCCATAGCTATTGAGCCCAGAAGGGAGCTTAGTGGAGTTCAGGTAGCCAAGGATAGTCCACCTTTTTATCTGGCGGCCTATGCTGATGATGTGGTTGTAGGGATTACTGGAGATAGCGGTGTTAATATTTTAAGTGGCATTGACACATGATTTTGGAATTGTAGTGAAAATATATAGTGAAAAAAAATTAGGAGGGAGTTTTACAAGCTGGACAGGACAGGTTGGAAAAGTGGTGATGGCTTTTGCCATGCATGTCTTTTAGGGGGACGACACTTATAGTTAACAATTTGATCGCCTCTTCTCTCTGGCATCGTTTGGCTGTCCTTGAGCCTCCACAGGGTCTTTTAACTGGGATTCAGACTCTCATTGTTGATATTATGTGGGATAAACCTCATTGGGTTTGATGAAGTGTTTTATACTTGTCTAGAGATGAAGGGGGTCAGGGCCTCATACACCAGGACTGTAGGAAAGCAACTTTTAGTTTACAGTTCCTACAAAAGTTTTTATATGGTTCTGTATATGCTCTTTGGAGGTCTATGGCAGGTTTTGTTTTACGCAAGGCTCGAGGCTTGGGACTGGAAGGGAGCGACTTCCTTCTTTTTATGCAAGTGTTTTTAAAGCATGGCTGTTGTACAAGGTGGAGAAGCAGACCTCTTATGACTCCCTTTACTGGCTTCTACGGGAGCCAGTTATCCATGGAGCCTGACTGTCACTCATGGAAGGGGGGCCCGAAGCCTGTCTGAGAAGATTAGGAAGGCGGGTCTAGCCACGGTGAGGCACCTGGTGGAGACTGCTGGAGTGGATCTCAGTGACGCAGAGGCACTGGCAAACAGACTTGGTATGAGGTCCAGCAGAGTTACCATGCAGATGCTCCACAGGGTTCAGAAGGCACTGACTGAAGAGGACAGGAAACTGCTGACTGGGTGGACATGTGACCAGGCTGGAAAGGAGGAAGAGGGCCCCTTCCCGTGGGCCTCCTATTGACTCTTGAGGAGTTGAGCGGACTGCGCCTTGACTGCCTGAATGCTAAAGTCAAGTACAGAGGGGTGTGTTAAACAGCTTAATCAGTCTAAACCGTTGACCAAGTCAGCTGGGGACATGTAATGGAGAGTTTTACATGGCGTTATTGCTGTGAATGCTTTTGTCTCTATTTTAAACCCTGCAGTCTCCTCAGAGTGTCCGTTCTGTTCACTGAGGGAAACAGTGTACCATTGTTTTACACAGTGTGCAAGGTTAAATGGGTTGTTTAAGATTTTAAGTTCACTTTTCGTGAATGTTTTTATTTTTAATTTTCCATATTGTCAAAAACAGAAGAAAAAGTGCCCGTTGATTCATTTTATTTTAGGTCAGGCTAAAGTAGCGATTTATTTTAGCAGAAAGAAAAAGCTGGACTCTGGTCTGAACTGTGATGTCTGCGAAGTCTTTAAAGGCCTGGTACGGTCAAGAATTAAGATTGATTTTGGTTTCTACAAGATAATGCAGGACTTTTCTGTTTGATTAATTGATGGTCAATAAAGGATGGTAAACTCTTTCTCTCTGTCTTTCTCTCTGTCTCTCTCTCTCTGTCTTTCTCTTTCTCTCTCTGGGTCTGTGTCTTTCTCTTTCTCTCTCTGTGTCTTTCTCTCTTTCTCTGTTTTTCTCTTTCTCTCTCTGTCTCTTTCCCTCTCTCTCTCTCTCTCTGACACACACACACACTTAAGAGGAGTGTTCTATTCTATCTCATACACACACACTGAGGAGTTTGAATTAAGCTCAAATCCAGCGTAGAGGGGTTCAGTGAATGTGGAGTGGAATGTGTGTAAGTGTGTGAGTGTGTGTGGATCAGAAGAGACGCTGTAGAAGGACAGAGTGCCGGCCCCCCAGTCCACATACACTCCCACTCTCTTAGATCTGATGAGCTGACAGGGGATCACAGTTTCCTTATTATTGTGCCAGACAGAGTGACCTTCATCAGAGCACTCCAGACTCCACGACTGATTATTGCGTCCAAACAGACACTCATTACTGCCTCCTTTCCTCCTGATTCCTCTGTAGGTCACTGCTATAAGAGCTAACTGTCCGCTCCACTCTGCCTCCCAGTAACAGCGTCCAGTTAAACTTTCCACACACAGAACCTGAGGCCACCAATCAAATCTGTCTGGATGATCCGGATACAGCTGATCCTCATCCACAGACTCCACCATCCTGTTCTCCTCAGACAGAGAGAGCTGTGTGTGTGCTGTGTTTGAGTCCAGAGTGAGTTCAAACACATCTAAACACACAATAAACACAGATTAGAGCAGAACACCAACACAGACAGAGTGTGTGTTTTGTGTGTGTGTGTGTTTGTCTGTGATCTTACATTTCCTCAGACTCGGTTTGATCCACATCTCCCCGTCATTCTCCACCCTGAAGAACACACACACATACACATACACAAACACACACATACACATACACAAACACACACATACACACACACACACACACACATTTTAAATTTTAATTGTACATTCACTGAAAATCTGAAATGTTCACTTCTCCTGTTTTTCTCATTTGTAATGAGCTGCAGGATTTAACAGACACAGTGAAATAAAGGAGCTGTGAACAAACATGAGACTAAACAGGAAGTGATGAAGACAGTGATGTTAATATGATGCTGTTTTACTGCAGACATGAAAACAGAGAAAAACACTGTGTTTTGTCATCCCAAAAACACACAGAATGTGTCTGATTTCTCTCTCTCCGACTCTCTCTCTCTCTCACTCACTCTCTGTCTCTCTCTCTCTCGCTCTTCCTCTCTCTGCCTATCTGTCTCTCTCTCTGTCTAACTCTTTCTGCCTTTCTATCTCTGTCTGTCTGTCTGTCTTTCTGTCTCTCTCTCTCTCTCTCTCTCTCTCTCTCTCTGTCTCTCTCTCTCAATTCAATCCAATAAGCATGACCATATTCAGTTACAATATTGCCAAAGCATCATCAAAAAGAAGGAATTAATGTTTAGAACAGAGTATAAGAACTCAAAATTTCATTTGATAGAAAAATAATTATGAAAGAATCACATAAAAGAACAGTTAAAACAATAGTTTGGAATTGAGGTGTAAAGAAATCTAAGGAGGAAAAAAGATAAATAAATCAATCAATAAAAAAATAAATAAATACATAAAGTGTTTACAAACAGGGCAGTTTTTGATATCTTGTGTGTGTGTGTGTGTGTGTGTGTGTGTGTATGTGTGTGTATGCTGTGTTTGGGTGGATCACTCACTGTCTCTTATATTGTGGCAGGTAGACATACACCGGAGATCAAAATTAGAGAACAATTTATGAACACTTGATTTTTTCAGAAATAACGTAATCTTCATTGGTCAACATTTGAAGGATTTTTGTTAGGGGTATACCATGCCACTAGAACAGTGTTTTACAAAATAACCAAGGTACTTCAACATAAAACCTTTATTTTGCAGAAAACACACACACACACACACACACACACACACACACACACACACACACACACACACACACACACACCCCATCTAAACCACTTATCCTTCTGGGTCACGGTGGGGTGCTGGAGCCTATCGCAGAAAACACAATGATCAAAATTAGAGAACTGCAATGACTGTAGCACAGAGAAAGATTTCAACTAAATTTTCTGAAGGTTACAAGTCACCAATCAGTAGGAAGTGTACAGGCCGTTGCTTTGAATGACTTCAGCACATCTGCCGCCACAGGACATCACTAGTCTCTCACAATGCTCTGCTGTGATTTTGGTCCACTCTTCTTGCAGTCTCTTCCACAGTTCAGTGACTGTTGTGGGTTTCTTAGCCATAACTTTGTCACCAAGGATTTTCCAGAGGTTTTCTGTTGGGTTTAGATCAGGACTCTGGGCTGGCCATTTCATTGTTTCAATGTTTTCAGTTTCAAGGAACTGCTTTACCTATTTTGTTGTGTGACAGGGGGCATTGTCCTGCATGAAAATTGCTGGCTGATTGAGTGATGAACGCAAGGAAGGAACCACGTGTTGTTGAAGACGGTTCTGATACACACTTGCATTCACTCTGCCATGTAGCTGTATGAGAGGTCCAACTCCTGCTGCGGAAAACATTCCCCAAACCATGACACTTCCTCCTCCACCTTTCACTGACTTCTTTACACACTTTGGGTTCAGTCTTTCCCCAGTTTGTCGATGAACATAATGTTTCCCATCAGACCCAAATAAATTAAATTTTCATCTTTCAGCTTTCATCTTTCATCACTAAAGTAAACTCTGGACCACTTCTCCTCTGACCACACAACATGCTCCTCAGCAAAGGTTAGTCCAGCCTTTTGATTCTTTCTGCTAATGAGAGGTTTGGTCGCTGCAGAGTGGGCAAATGCTCTTAAACGTCGAGACACTGTATGATGAGACAGTTCCTTACCCTGTTCTCTTGCATTTGTCTTTCGTGGGCGACCAGCCTTCTTGGGGGACTTGAATGAGTTTGTGATGTTGTAAAAACTGTGATTCTAGAAATCACAGACTTGGAACGACCAGCTTCTCTTGCTATGGCTGATAGGGTCACCCCTTTGGCCTTCATCTGGAACCTGCTGCTGGAGGGTTTCAGTCACTTTGGAACGGCTCACCATCTTGCAAAGTCAGTGAAAACTGGAAAGTTAGGCTGTCAGTTAAATAGGGTTTGTCAGATAATTAAGGAAATTAGCACCAGGTGCCAGATTAACACCAATAACCTGCAGGTATCTTAAAGTGTTCTCTAAATTTGATCAGTGTTCTTTTTCAATTATCTCATTTAGGTTTTTTATATTGTGCTTTAGAATATGTACAACTCATGAAATAAGCTTAGAATACTGCTCTTTTAGGACAAATTCACATAGGACTACACAGTGACCTTGACATTTAGGAAATTGTGTGTTGTTCTCCAATTTTGATCTCCAGTGTATATTGTGCTGCTAAAGTGTTGCTCTCTCTCCTCTCTCCTAGCAGGATGGGCAGCTTCTCATTATTACAGAGAAGTCTGAATTTGTGTATATTTTAAATAAGTATATTTTTTGTAGTTGTTTGTATTTATCACACTCAGTGAGGAAGTGCAGCGCTGCCTCTACAGGGCTGCTGCTGCACTGCTGGCAGAATCTCAGCTCTTTAGGCCGCCAGGATCTGCACGGCCAGGCTGTGTTCACTGAGTCTGTACTTTGTCAGCGTGGTTCTGTGTTTAGTATCAGTCACTGTGCTCAGGTAATCTCTCTCTCTGACTCTCTCTTTGACTCTCTCTCTCCCTCTCTCTGACTCTTTCTCTCTCTCTCTCTCTGACTCTTTCTCTCTCTCTCTCTCTCTCTCTCTCTCTCTCTCTCTCTGTTTGTCTCTGTCTCTCTCTCTGACTCTCTGACTTTCTCTGACTCTCTCTCTCTCTGTTTGTCTCTCTGACTCTCTTTGCCTCTCTCTCTGACTCTCTCTGTCTCTCTCTCTCTGACTCTCTTTGTCTCTTTCTGTTTGTCTCTCTCTGACTCTCTCTGGCTCTCTCTCTGACTCTTTCTCTCTCTCTCTCTCTGTCTTTCTCTCTGACTCTCTCTGAGTGGGGCTGTGGTGATCTTTTTAGACGATGTGGAGAAAGTAAACACAATGGTGCAGAACGGCTTGTTGTCCAGGGCACGTTTACGCCTGTAATGCCTCTCATTCGCCCAGCAAGAAAAATAACGCTATAAGTTCTATAAAGCGATGAACAACCTAGAGGTATTTGAGTTTGAATGGTGTTATAATGATGTTTTCTGCACTGTGGTGGAGGGTGAGTTAGTCCTTGCCAGTCCTTGGGGCTGACATATTATGTGTGAAGTATTTGTAATTATGATTTGAAGTGACTGAATAAAAGTCTCTGTTAAAAATCAAATCTCTCTCTAATCTCTCTCTCTCTGACTCTCTCTCTGACTCAAATCAAATAAAGTCAAATATGCTTTATTGGCATGACAGGATATGAGACCTATGTTGGCAAAGCTGTAAAATACATTTTAAATTGAATTGTTATTAAAATAGAAATGAATAAAAATAAATAAATAAATGAGTAAATATAAATAAATTAATTAATAAAAAAAGAAGTACATAAGGATAAATAATTTAAACAAAGCTATAAAGTTTGAATATAAATATGGTAAGACATATTAGCATAAAATGAATATGGGCATGCCAAAAGTAATAAAATAATAGATATTAATAGATAGAATAAAATAAAAAATATTTAAAATACTATCACTACTACTAATAATAATAATTAAAAATAAATACAACACAATAAACAATAAGGTATATATGAAAATAATGAAGGAATACATCTGAACGTCAGGAATTAGAAATATTAGTTACATAACTGAATATATGTTATGTTACATTTTTTTCTCTGATCTTGTGGCAGTTCTGAATGAACTGTCCTGCTAAACTTATTGTTTCTACATTTTCTCCCAGTAAAATCTTCATTTTCTCAGAATCGGTCAGTGAGGCGAAGGAGGGGATTTTATTAGTAAATTTTGGCAGAAAAGAGTCTCTGATGGTTTTATATTTTGAACATGAAAGAAGGAATGATTCTCAGTTTCTGTCTCTCCTGATGGGCAACGGGTGCAGGTCCTGTCCCCCTGTCCATCCTGCTTTTTTTTGTGCCTCCCTGTTTCAATGGCCAGTATATGGTCACTCATTCTGTATTTTGTTAGGGTTTGCCTTTGTTTGTTATCTTTGATTCTAATTAGTTTATTGGCTAGTGTATATTTCCGATCAAGCATTTCATAACATTTTCATTTATTTTGGTGTTTAATTTGTTTTTTCCAGTAGAGGCTGTAATCTGCTTTGTTATTATCTTCAGTCTCTCTCAGTGTGGAGCGCTGAGCTGTTGGGTTGGCTTCTAAGTTCTTTTTGTTGGCTCCTGGTTTAGTGGGTGGTTTGAGTCTGTTTTGTTGCTGATGAAGACTCTGTAGTGAAGGGAGTCTGGATCTGATGGTTCAGGTGGTGCCAGAATTTACAGCATCTTTTCTCAATATCCAGAATGAGTGGAAATCTGCGCAGCTCTGCTCTGCTGGCCAGATTAGAAACACCTCTGTTCACCTGCAGGATGTCTTTGTAGAATTCAAGATGAAATAGTTCTGTGGTTGTATTGTCCCTAATTTTGTAATTTTGTGTTCTTTCTAGTCCCCACATTTCACTGTCATATAACATTATTGGTTCAATTACTGATGTAAATCATTTTAACCAAATTGCAATGGGGGGACTGAATTTGGAAATTGTTTTTCTAATCATATAGTACGATCTGTATGCTTTTTCTGTCAGTGATGTAATTGCTGATTTAAAATTTCCTGCGGATTTTAATATCACACATAAATAAGAGTAGTCAGTGGTGTGTGATATTAAGGTGTCTTCAAAAGTAAACTGGTATTTCTTCTCT